TACTAGAAATCTAGGTGCAACAAGCATCAATATCCTCCCCCCTCCCCCCCCAAAAAAAAACCACACACAAAAAAAAATCCCCAATATGTTTTGGTCAAGATTATGAGTGTTAACCATAGCTTGAAATGTACAACACCAATATCATTCTTGCACTGTGCAAGCCCAGATTATATTCTAAAGTATCTAATTCTCCTTTTAAAAGTCATCAACTTCTGATAATAAAGACAATAGCTCCAATAGAAATTGCACTTCTGGTAATAATATGACTGAAACCCAAATTCTTTCTCAATACTTTTACCAAATAGGTAACCCACTATTCCATCCCATATCTCAAGCATTTTGCATTGCCTAGATCATCTAATACTCCTGTTTCTTTAGATTCTAATCGCGTTCTGTATTCTAGTACTAAATTTAACAACCAAACTCATTATTGTCTATAAAGCAATTAGGCAATTTCAGATCCTAATCAAAAAAAATGTTTTTTTCCTTTTCAGGACAAGCTCAAGTGCCTTGACAATTTTCTTCGCTGCCATGATGAATCAATTGAATCATCATAGGCATGCTTACATTTGCCCTTCACCCCTAACTTTGTCCTGTCACTAGTTGTCACTCCACAAGAAAACATCCCTTTTCAAATCTATCAGAGAGGTCAATCGCAACACCCAGAATGACCTCATAGCCTGAGATTCAAATGCATCAAGTTTCTTGCCAGGTAGAACTACGAGAAAGGAAACGTTGCTTCATAATTAGTCCTCTAGCTCAAAGCAAATCCTAAGATCATTCGTAAACTAAATTGAATCCAGAAGTTGCATTTTCAGAGGATTTAATTTGTGAGATCAAAGAGTAAATCAATGGCATAATCATTAAGATCAATAATAAGACAAACAACCCAGGAGAAATTTCAGAATTCACATCGCACGTCACCTTGCAAGTTCCTTCATGGACTGAACAAACACCATACCAGATGACTCCAACATGTCATGCAATTCATTCTCATTACTGTCATTGTCAACATTTCCATTTTGATGATTCTCACGCATCAAGTTCCTGATAATTAAGGAAGCCAACGAAGCCGCTTCCTCGAACATACAACTCACCAAGTAACTGCAAAATTCGATCAAAGACATACAAAAACAGTTATTCAAGAAAGCAACATACAAGGGTAGTAAACAGCATGCCCCTTTTCAAATCCAAAAACAAATGAAACAGAATTATACCTTTCCGAACGCTCAATTCCTTCCCAAGTAGATGCTTTTGCACCACAAACTACAGCCATTTCTGTCTTTATCTAGCTCTTTTTTGTAGTTCTACAAGCTGCAGACGCCTCAGGTATCATTACATAATTTGTTTATATGATCGAAACAATTGCAAAATCAATTCCAAAATCAGAACTGAAATATTTGCAATTGAAAACCCCAACTAATGTTATCAATACTTAAAATGATAGGCCGAAAAAAACAGAGATAAATTGAGAAATTCGAGAAAACTGAACAGCAAGATAGAAAGAGATTGATTGATCGAGATAGAGAGAGAAAGAGAGGGCTTACCAATTGGAGCTGCAATCTCCAACAAGATTGAAATTGTTGTTGAGGATGATAATTACTGCAGAAGAAGACTTTTTCAACAATATGCTTGAAAATCAACCAACTTAAGGGGGGGACTTGATTTGAGGTTTTTACGAACGTTGAGATAAAATTTTGGGTTAAGAGCAATTTGCACCCTAAACTATTACCTATTTGTATTTTGTTCCCCAAACCATTAAGTTTCGAATGAGAAAGATTTGAGTAGTCCTTATTGAATAATTTTACGAACATAGGTTAGGGATAATAGAATTTTTTTTCAGCTAAAAATAGTTAATAATTTTATTCTTTTTTAACTAATTAAACAATGTTATATAAATTGATATGCATTTTAACTGGTTGAATAATGTCACACAAATTGATAGTAAGAAGTAATATTAGGGTGACAAAATTGTCAATTTTAGGGGATAGTGTCTAGATCAATAATAGTTCAATATGTCCGATATTATTAATCTTAACTGTTTTGGTTTATTAGTTATGAGTTTTCTTTTTCTTTTTTTAATTTTTTGCTTGATAATTTGTACAAGTATTGCCTTGAATTAAGAAGAAAAACTTTTTACTCCCTCGCATTTTTAAACTAATAGAATTTGAATTCTCATATATTCAATTCCCGTCATCTTCTTATAGGAAATTTCACATCAACATATTCGGAGAGTGAATTATATTAGAACAGCGGATGAATAAAATACAAATTAAGTTTAATTGGATGAGTAGAAAATATATAATTTAGTCACTTTTTCTTGTCCTAAATTAATTATCATCTTAGACAAGCCAATCCAATTTTTTCCGTGAAATTTTAATCATAAATTAATTTTGTTTTTCAAATAAAAGATTGTTTATCACTAAAGATAATAATATCACTATACATAAATTGCACATTCTTCCAAAAAAGGCAAATTGGGACGAAGGAAGTATTATTTTGATTAGTGTGAATGGAAGTACTTGAATTCGAAATTTTTCACTTACATTCCTTTCCTTTAAACTATCAAATTGCTCTTCCCCCACTAAGAAAAAAAAACCTATTGTAAATGTTCATTGGTGAGTAAAAAAAATTTTAATAAAATAATAGCCACGAATAAATGATGCAAATTTTGATGCAAATAAAATAAATAAAATTTGGGTCTAACATCCCAAGATTTGTTTAAAAAAAAAAGAGTAAATGATGCAAATAGTTTAATTGGCATATCGCTTCTTTGCCACCTAAAATACAAAAAGGAGTACTAATTTCTGGCGGGAATTCTCCTCTTCTTCCCACCAACTTAACGACTTCTTTCTACAATGAAGACGGCCTTCAAATCTGTCTTCGCCATAAACTCGAGAAAAAGCTTCAAAGCTTACATGCAGAGAAACCTTAACCTCTTGAAAGAAATCTCAAACCAAAGATTAATCACTCAAGGAACTGCACTTCATGGCCATTTAATTAAAAAGGGAATTTCATCAGAGAAGTATGTAGCTGTAAAATTGCTTGTTATGTACTTAAAGTGTAGGAAATATGGTGAAATAAATCAGATGTTGAAGGAGTTTAACGGGTTCAATTTAGTTGTATATAACTGTTTGATTGCTGCAAATGTTGAGTGGGGAAATTTGAATGAAGCGCGCCGGTTGTTTGAAGAAATGCCACAGAGAGGTGAGGTTACTCGGACTGCTTTGGTTTCTGGTTTGCTGAGATATGGAAGAGTGGATGAAGCACTTTGGTATTTCGAGAGGAACCCTTTTCGGGATGTATTTTCTTGGACTGCGATGATAAGTGGATTGGTGCAAAATGGTCTGGGTTTGCAGGCTATGAAGCTTTTCTTGAGGATGCTTGATTCTGGAGTTATGCCTAATAATGTTACGTTTACTACTTTTTTTAAAGCTTGTGCAGATTCGGCTGACTTTGGGTTGGGAATGAGTGCGTTGGCTTTGGTTGTGAAGGTTGGTTTTGATGAGAGTTTGCCTGTGTGTAATTCATTGATTACATTCAGTTTGAAGGTGGGAGAAATTAACTTGGCTAGAAGAATTTTTGATGGCATGAAAGAGAGGGACGTTGTTTCGTGGACTGCGATTTTGGACGCGTATGTTGAGATGGATAGTTTGGAAGAGGCTCGTAGAATCTTTGATGAGATGCCAGAAAGGAATGAAATTTCTTGGAGTGCCATGATTGCTAGGTATAGTCAGAATGGTTATGCTGAAGATGCAGTAAACTTGTTCCATGAAATGGTTCAGAGTGGGTTTAAGCCAAACAAATCTTGCTTTTCTTGTGCTATTAGTGCTTTGGCCAGCCTGGAAGCTTTGCAAGCAGGCAGGAATATCCATGGACATGTTATAAAAATTGGAATTGAGACGGATGTTTTCATTAGTAGCTCACTAGTGGACTTGTATTGCAAATGCAAAGAAACTGGAGATGGACGCAGAGTTTTTGACTTGACAAAGGTGAAAAATGTTGCTTGTTGGAATTCCATGGTTGCTGGTTATAGTTTAAATTGCCATTCTTGAAGAAGCTAGGAAACTGTTTGACCTGATACCTTGTAAAAATAATGTCTCCTGGAACTGCCTGATTGTGGGTTACTTAGAAAATGAACAATTTGATAAAGTTACTGACTTGTTCAATGAGATGCTTTTGTCTGGAGAAACACCAAACAAATCCACTTTCTCAAGTGTTCTACGTGCTTGTTCAAGCTTAGCCTCGTTAGAAAGAGGCAAGGTTCTACATGGAAAAATTGTTAAACATGGTTTCCAGTATGATATTTATGTCGGCACCGCACTCATTAGTATGTACTCAAAATCTGGAGATATTGAATGCTCTAAGCAAGTTTTTAGTAGAATGCCAAGGAAAAATGAAGTATCTTGGGCAGCTATGATTCAGGCATTTGCCGAAAATGGTTTTGCTGAAGAGTCACTTGCCCTGTTTGATGAATTTGAACATTCTTCATCCTTTGCACCTAATGAGCTCATTCTTTTGGCAGTTCTGTTTTCTTGTTCTCATTGTGGGCTGGTTGATAAAGGACTGCATTATTTCAATTCAATGGAGAAGATTTACGGCATTAAACCAACTGGTAGGCACTACACCTGTGTAGTTGACATGCTTTCTCGGTCAGGATGCCTATCAGAGGCTGAAAAATTTATCACGGGCATGTCATGTGAACATGAAGTTAATGCCTGGGTAGCTTTATTAAATGGTTCTAGAATATACAGGGATAAAATTGTGGCAGAAAAGGCAGCAAAAAAGTTCTCAAAAATGGTGGAGGAGAAGTCTGAAGTTTATGTCATGCTATCAAACGTTTATGCTTCAGCTGGTAGATGGTTTGATGTTCTTAACACTAGAAAGTTGATGATAGAGAAAGGATTATACAAAGGCGGAGGCTGTAGTTGGATTGAGGAGAGAAATCATATTCATGTTTTCTATTGCCAGGATGGAACACATATTGGCTCAACAGAAATTTATGGGGTATTGCAACTATTGAAATCTGAAATGTGAAACGTGAATGATGATGCTATAAAAGCTTGGACCTTGAACAGAGGCGTCTTGGTGAAGAAAAGCCAAGGAGGGAAAAAAAAGTTATTCTTCCTCAGGTATGGTAACTAACAAGACTACATGTAGCAGCAGTGGAGAAATTTTCTTGTCTTATGGAAGCTAGCTATACAGTTGTTGGAATTGATGTCTTCATTGCTGAAAGTCAGGACCATCTTGCAAGCAAATGCAAGTTTGAGTTGTGGAATAACCGGTTCAGCAGAAAAACCTTCCCAAGAAGCTCTGTTTCTCACAAAGTTCTTTTGCAATACAACAGTCTATTAGGAAAAATGAATTGCAGGTAATGGTTTTTACTAATCTCAAACTGGGGACAATTGCCTCTTGGAAAGGATAGCCATTATGGCTTTTGTCATATAATGTGAAAAAGATTCTTGATCAAAGTTATCTTGTGTAGCACTATTCATTTTCTGAGACAAATCTTGATCAAGATTGTGTCTCTCAGGTAAAAGTCTGTATGCTGTCTTTTGTATTGAATAGTTCATTCCTTCTTGTAATTAGACAGTAACATTATTTACTAAAGTTGCATTTTCTTTGTTATTTACACTTCCATGAAGTGGAGGTCAACTGGTCAGTGAAACAAATCAAGTGACAGATTGGAAGCAGAAGAGGAGTTCCATTTACAAGCACCAAAAAAAAAGAAAAACAAGTCAGTTAGTTTTCCTTCTCTTTTTTTTTTTAATTATATGGTTGTTTTCCTTGCGTCTTTTCTATTTTGGTTAAAGATGTTTAGGCCTAGACACCATTTAATGACAAGAATTGCAGCAAATGAATTCTTAATTTGCTTGAAAGTGTTTTTTAATCTGGCTTCTGTAGTTAATTTTATGCTTCCGATTCATGAATCGTCTGAACTGGTTTACTTCCATTTGTTAGTTGAAAGGAGTGGGAAAAAGGAAAGAGATTTAGGCTGTGGAGTGGCACTGCACATTAGCTTTCTGAAACAACTACTCAAGTTAGCGGCTAAGAAACCAAATAGTTCACAACTTCGAGCTGGTTTACCTTGTTAGGTTTTCTAACGTCCAATTTCCCCATCCTTTTCCAGTCCCTCAACTCTTTTTCTTTTTTAATTTTGTGGATGCTTACTTCATACAACTTTCTTATCAGTTGACGTGGATCACATGCAAAAAAGAGCATTCATGAAACTGAACTATGGTGTCTAGTTAAATTGTCACAGAAAACCATATATACACACATGTTCAGCACCTTTTGATTTATCTTTGGCTACTATTGGATAATTGCTCCTTGATGGAGATTTAAACTTGTTTCTTGGGAAGATGTAGTTTATAAGTGACATTACTTATCCTTTTTCTGTATTGTCAGTGATTTCTCTTAGAAGCCTGCTACAATGTTGCCACGGGGATAATCCTGTTGCTTTTTCACTGACAAAAATGCGTCAGGTACACTAGTTTTTCTTTTTGTCTATTTCATCATTCCACGAAATATTTTGTTACCATAAAACCTGTACATGTAGGTGATAATCCAAGGGTTTTGCTGCTTGATGTAACTTTTGTAGCTTAAGCAGGTACTCATAAAATAAAATTCGTAATGGAAAAGCATATTAATATTTGTAAACCTTAATGTTGACCTTTTTAGAGCTAATCTTTTGTACCTGTTGGCTAAGATGGTTATTTCTTGGTTTCGTCTCTTACCTGCTGTTGACCTAATTTGCATCAGCGGAAGAAGAAAATTCATCTAGAGCAAACTGCCATCCTGGAGAATAATCATTCAATGAATATTATTGGACGCCTGAATGGGCACTATACATGTTACCAGAAGATTGCTGAAAACTCATAGGGCAACTTTAATATCTAAGAATGCTTAAAGAATTCAAATGGAACTGGTTATTTAAGGTAAAGGCCCTCTTACGGAATGAAGAAAACTATTAGTAAATTGTCATACATAATTCTCTTTTGCATTTAGGACAATATGGTAAAGTTTGAAAAAGCTACTCGTTGAAAGTAAATGGCAAAAGGAGCAAATGGCATAGGCTTAAGTGGTGCAATGAGACTTACCCAGGCAAGAGGATGGAAGACTTTGGATTATATGTGGTTTCTCGATTGATCGGTATTGTGCATGAAATGGTATGCCTTGTACATTTTGTATGGTGGATTCTGATAATCGTTGAACAAGTGTTCTGTGAAATTAAAGGTGAAAGGGAGTTTTTCATGTCATTGGGGATGCTGCTAAAACTAGGCCCTACATTGCAGTTGACCATATTTCAACTACTTACCGTCCAGTAAACTAATAAAAGGCTCTTTTCTCTGGATCTTTGTTGCATCTACTAATATCTTGGTTGTCTAGGCAGTTAATGCAAACAGCAATCAGATGACTCAGAAACCAGAAATATTTCAGTTTGATTCAGTGAAATATATCTTTTAGACATCAACTATATCCTCATTTTAAAGGTTTCATGGTGAAAAAAAAAAATCACACTCTAGCGAAATATCTTAGTTCCATATCTTACCATTTGGTCAAAATTCTTATATTGTTTCGATTTCAAATAAAATAAAAACTTACCTAATGAATTTGAGTTGAATAATATAATGCTCAAGTTATTAATTTTACCTAACTTCAATTGTGCTTAATCTTCTCTTTATTATTTTTTAAGTCAAGATTTAAATGAGTTGCTATTATCTCTTCAGATTGGCAATTCTTATTTATTATTAATGCAAATTATCCGTTTGGCCCTTGAACTTTTAGTTTAGATAAAACTTAACCCTCTAACTATTAATAGTCAACTTTTAGCTTTCCAACTTGTAAAATAGGGAACTTGTGGCTCTTTTGACTAATTTATCCGGTTTTGCAACCGGAAAGACAAATCACGCGAATGGCAGTATGCTTTATAGAAGTGTCTTTTTGTCTACACAGAAACAAGCAAAAATGAACGAAGTATATCATGTTCCCCATCAACCCAAATCCCTAATAGATCTCAACACACGAATTGCAGAGGGAAGGGAGAGAAGTGTTTGTTGAGAGCAAGTAAGAATGCGTAAATATTGCATCCCTTCCTTTCATATTTGTCCCTGCGGTAAAATCACAAAGATGATTGCTTCGTGAACTGATATAAACCCAAGAAGAAAGTACACTGTTTGCTCACAAGAAGTTGGTAGCTGTGGATATTGGGATTGGATTGACGAGGAGATGTGCCGCCACTCTATTGAGTTGATACCTGGCCTTCCAAGAGGATCAATGCAACAGAAAAGCAAAGAGAGGAATTTGAAGCTGCAGCATCAAGATCCAAGGCAAAAGCTGCTAGGTTGAAGGCAAAAGTAAGAGAAATAAAGAAGGACCGGATCGAAGTATTCATTTTGCAGCCTGATTTGCCATTCCATTGTTGCTTCAATGTCGATGATACCCAGCTATTCTGAAGCTCGAGAGTGTAGATCGTCTCATGCTCTTCTCCATTAACAAAGATCCTCAAGAGAAGATGAAGAGGGGCAAGGAAAAAGGGTTAGTTCAAGGGCTTAGTTTAGTTGGGTTAGGAAAAGGGAAGATAATGTACTTCATATGGTTTTGGCTTGTTTTTGTGTGGAAAAAAATGCCCTCTACAAAGCATATTGCCATTCCTCTTATTTGACCTTCCAGTTACAAAACCTGATAAACTAGCCAAAAGGACCATGGGTTCCCTATTTTACAAGTTGGAGGACTAAAAGTTGACTATTAATAGTTGGAGGATTAAATTTTATCTAAACTAAAGGTTCAGCGGCAAAACCGATAATTTGCCCTTCTTATCTATATCTATATCTATATGTATTGTGGGAAGGATTTTTAGGATGGTTAAATCAGAATGTTTATAACTCTTCATTTTTTTGTTTAATAGAATTTTGAATTGTTTAAATTATTATATATCCTTTCATGTGTTTTGAATTTAAAAGTAAGAAGTGGCCCACTTATTATATGAATTTGATTTGAAATCTATTAATGTGAGGGAAAATGAAGAGGAAAAATCACCAACCCTACTAAAAGTAAATAACAATATTTTATCTTTCAACTTAGGAATCCTAACTGAAAGGCCAAATTTTGTAGAAAATAAAAAGAAAATAATATTCGTTGGTCATGGATTTAAAATATCAATTATGGTACCATTTGTGAATATTAAATTATGAAATCACTGAACAAAAAACAAAATACTACTAGCCTAAAAAAATAAATTATGGATTTAAAGGGTTTGGGAGAATGGTGAAGGGAAAATAATAGAAAATTGGATGGCAACAATGAAAAGCTAGACGCTAACTATAGGTGAGAGAAAGACAATAACGAGGAGTTAAAAGAGTGGTAAGAAAAGTCGAAAAAGAAAGGTCAACTATTACAAGATTGGATGAAGAGAGGGGAGAAGAAAGGATGAGATTGTGGGGATATGACAGGAAGGATGGTACCGTGGTAAGAAATCTAAAAGTCATAAAAAGCAACAGATAGCTAGTTAGCTGGTAAAAGAGAATGAAAAAGGGTGATAGTATTTAACAATTTTCAAAATTTTAAAAACACATCTAACAAAGATTGTGTTAAATCTATATTAAAGTTGACGAAAGAACATTATTCTATAAGCACTCAACAATTTTAGAATTGCAAGATGGGAGAAATAATTTTCTAAAATTGAGGAAAATGAATTGGTTATACCTTATATTTTTAATGTTAAAAATTTTGATATATGGGTATAACATGATATATTGATAAATAAGTTTACAATTGCTCTGTCATGTAAATTGTTATAAATTAAATTATTTTATTCAAATTGTTATCATATATTGACAAACAATAGGTTAACAAAATTTGGTTTCAACTTTTTTAAGATATTAAAAATAAAAAAGTCCATTTTATATTTACAAAATAAACGTTTTTTAAATATGTTAAACATACACTTCTTTGAATTTTTTCTGTCTTTTTCATATACTTTATCCTATACTATAATATATAAGTAGGGATAATTTCAGAAACCTCCCTTGAGGTTTTTAACAATTTCATTCAGCTCCCTCGAGATTTTAAAAATTACACATAGCTCCCTTGTCATTTGAAATGACAATACTGCCCTTAACTATTTTAATAAAATTCTCTTGTTTTGTATACTTATACTCAGAATGACTTTTAAAATTATTTTTTCATTTTTTCCTTTTTTTTGGCCAATAAAACTATAGAACTACCACTATTATCTCTAGTTTCTATTGTAACCAAATGTCGAACTATTGATTTTTTTATGAGTTAACTTTATATGCAATCTAATGTTTTTACTAATCTTTGTTTTCTATTTTTTTGGTATTAAAATTAAAAATAAATAAAAAAGATCCAAAATCACTACTAAATTATGATAATCCCACCACTCAAAAAATTCATAAACTCTAAATAAATTATTTCAACATTTTCTTTTCTATCTTATAAATCTAAATTCATAATAAAATACCATAAAAAATATCCTATTATAGTGATAAATTTGTTATTATAGTTGTTTATCAAATAATAGGTATGGACATGAAAAATTTGGCACTTTTTTCTTATAATTATACTGGATAATCTTATATTTGTATAGAAAAGTAAATTAAAACTCATTACACAAGGGCATTTCTGGATATTCATTTAAAAATTTGACCAAGTCAATATTATTTTAAGGTTTTGTTACTAAAACTATCGCATCAAAGAAGGTAGATGTAATTTTTCAAACTTTAGGAAAGCTCAGTGAAATTGTTAGAAACCTTAAAGGAGATTTCTGAAGTTATCCCATATAAGTATTGTTTTGAATTGAAATATATAAATCTGTACATAGCGCACGGGTCACAATGCTAGTTAACTAGTATTGAAAACACACTCAATATTTGTACAGTTTAGAAATAATTATTAATTTTTTTGAATATATTAATTTTGATTTTTACAAAATGAAATTCTATATAAATTCTTCAAGAAAAAAATTGCAATTTATTGGTAATTTTTTTCTTTAATACAGTTATAATTAATTTGGTAATTACAATTGAAGTTATGGGAGAATCAGGGCGATTGTATTAGCAAATGTGATTAGGTAGTTTGAGTAAAAATTAATTCTTTTAGAAGCAAAATTAAAAGTTCAAAAAATGACATAAAATATTTAACCCAACTACCGTCTCTTTGTCTTTATTATTGTATATAAACAGATTATGTAATAACTCCTAAAGTTTATGCATATCGACCAAAACTTCAAATGTTTTATTAGCCAACACTTTGGCTTTTATTATTAATTAGTATATACTTATATGTCAAAATGTCTTTATTAGCCAAGAAATTGGGATTTATTATTAATTAGTATATACTTAAAAGCTTGATTAGGCAGATGGGATTTATTTTAAATCCCTATTAAGGTTTGGTCCAGATTGTTCCTCTCATCGCTTTGGGGTCTTCTTTCCGTATTCCTTCTCGCTCTTCTGTCTTTCCTCAAACCCCCCAAACCCCTGCGTCTCAATCAAAGCTCTTTATTCTCAGGTATCCATGGCAGCTCGAATAACCTTTCTTGAATCTTCTATTCTAGACGACCCCTTGTTGGAATATTTCTTCTCTTTGCCTAAAGAGGGCTGTAGGCAACTAAAAACTAGCCCTCTTCCTGAATTTTTTTTTTTTTTTTTGCTATTGAGTATTAGTATTTGATATTCCTGTGATACTTGATTAATTCTTTTGGTGGGTTTTTTTTTAGCCTTTTTTTTCTTGTGGGCATAGGTATTAGAAGAAAAAGAATCTCGTGAGGTTAGCAGATTCATGGGTTCTTCAGCTACAGAGGTTTTTCCTCACCTCCAGGTCAGCTCGAATTCATGTGCATGGTTAAATTTTTTTTTTTAGTAAATGCGTTTTTGTTCTGCCTGAATGTTGTTGGGCAACTCGGGAATTTTTTTAATGATTTGATTCGAGTTTGAAGAAGGAACACAATTCTTGCTATTTTACTGTGACAATGCTGTTATTTCAATCGGGAAAAATTAGAACTTTGTTCCTTTTTGTCCAATCTGGTAAAGATGAATGATTCTCGGTCAGAGCTCCGTTTTCCTCAAAAAGAAAGTTAATACTCTCGGTTTTAAATCTCTGCCTCCTCAAGTATTAGGCACTTATCTAGAGATTTTTTTTTGTCGGCCTCATTGTCGGAGTTTCAATTTTGGTTGTTTGATTGCCTGTGCGTGTGCAGATGCTTACTCTGTTGAATGGGCAATCTGCTAGATTGCATATCTGCTGAGACTATTCCTCTTTGCTTCTAGAGTACAGAATCTGAAGTAGCCTATATGGGGGAATCGATGTGTGGCGATACATGCTTCACAATATATTAAATATAATGGAAGCATTTTTGGTAGATTTTCCACAAATGCCTGATGACAAGGTTTCAAATGTCATTAGTATGAATAGTATTACTTGTTAGCAGTTGTAATAGTATTTATTATTGCGGTGATCAACAGTGCTTTTTTTTTTCTGGGTGCTACACGTGTGTGTGGGGCTTGCATTCTGTCAAAATGAGGGATCTGCTTGATTGCTTGTCCAACGAGACTTTGCCTTCCTAAACTAGTAATCTTTAAAGAGAAGCTGTGACAATGAGTATGATGTTGTATATAAAAGCCCAAGAGCAATGATTATTAATTTTGCAAGATCATGCATATGAAAATAGCATTAGGAAAAACGAGGATAAGACTAAATAAAGGACAAAAGGAGAAAGTTGAGGAAAGATGATGATGGATCTCTGGTCTTGGCTTTTTCATTGTAGTTCAGTGCCACATCAGAAGGGAAAAGTTAAAATTTAAAGATGAGGCAAAATAGAGGACCATAGTTGATTTATGTAGAAAAGGGAAGTTAAAGCCTTGATTTTGTCCTCCTTTATGCTCGTAGAGTTGATTTGAGAGAGATATTTGTCGTGTTCAAGAATTATTCATTGCTGTGGACTCGTTGTATCTTGATGTCTGACTTGTCAATTTATCTAAAGTGAGGGAATGCTAGGTAATTTTATTTGACTGGCACTTAAATATCTTTTCTTCTTCTTGTACAGGATGTTCTGTTGCAATTTCGAGCTGGCAAAATGCGTATGGAGGGAACACAGGTTGTTCCGGATTCACGTAAAGGTCTTGTTTGCATAGGAAGGGTATGAATCGAGGAACTGACTTAAAACTACTCTTGCTCTTTTCTTTTGTCTGGTTGAATTTTATAGCATTGATCCATGAAGTCTGCATTTTTGTGAGCCTATGATTTGAGCTGATTTTACACTTGTTAATATTTCAAGTTGTGGATTTCCTTCTGATTCTGTTCTTATGTCCCTGTTTTAGCGTGACGAGGGACTTATTCACTTTCAATGGGTTGATCGATCAAGCAATGTTGTTGAAGATGTATCCTTTGTAATTTTTTGTACTGTGAAGAATACTGTTGTTGGTGATCTTGTGGCTCAACTTTTCTTTGATCACGGTTGTGCTTTTCATTTCCTTTATTGATAGGGTTGCTATGACCTAAGTCATAAAAAACAGTGTTGGGGCCATCTTACATGGCTTTCTTTGTCTTACATGGCTTTCTTTGTCTCGGTCATTAATGTTGAAACTGGTTTGATGTTGTTTTAACTCAATGAAATGCAAAGGGAATATAGCAGGCTTTGGCTTGGTATAGTTTGTAAGATATGGTGTGACAATGGCACACTAGGTTCCTTATACTTGGAAATAATTGGGAAATGTATGCAACTCTTTCTCCTTTTAGCGCATGTGTAGAAAACTTGGTTTTTGGCGATGAAGGTTAGTCATGTATGTTTAGTGAGACTCAACTACTATGGTACCAGCTGTGATGCAAAGTCTGGAGCTTGACAAAGTTTAGATAATGTCTGCACTTTGCCAAGTTGAGTCCCTTTAGTACCACCTTCTTTATCAAATGTGAAGCATTACTTGAACAAGCCTCTTTGTATGTATACTAGATGACGAGTTTGAACACTCAATACCCTTGAATGCTCTTTTCTAGCCTTGCACACTTGTGATTTGCTGGAGCTTTATTCTTTAACAGTCATAATTATAGGATCAGATTGTCTTTCCGGATGAAGCTGTTTTTGAAAAGGTATATCTTTTAGATGTTTTATTGTTTCTAAACAGATTTGTGTGAGATAAGATCCTGATTATATTACTTCACCCTTTGTTGGACTACCTAGGTCAGTCAATCATCAGGAAGGGTCTATATTTTGAAATTTCAGACAGATGATAGGAAGTTATTCTTCTGGATGCAGGTTAGTTTTTTGTGCTTTTGGGGGATGTTGTCAGGTATATATTTTTGTATCCTGATCTTTTTTATTGCTTGCTGTTGGTTCCAGGAGCCAAAAGCTGACAATGATGCACAACTATGTAGCCAAGTGAATCTGTACCTCAATCAACCATTAGGTACTGAATTCTTTATATTTGTTTATTTTTACTGCAAATTCCATGCTGGACGCAAATTGTTTCGAAATCTCCTTGACACTTACCATGATGAGAATCAATATTTTGGCACATGTCCGGCCAGCTTCTCTGTTTCATGCACCGTATGTGTTCTTCTTAATGACTCGTCAGTTATGACTTCAGTTTCAATCCTTTGCAATACCTTTCTGCTCTTCTGGTTGCGTCAATTCCTTACTATTTGTGTTCTTTGAACAAATAACCTCAATTACAAAGTCTCTTATGATCTTATTTGCTCTCTTTCCATGAGCTATCACTTTGGTTCTACTCAGTGAGCGCCTTTTATGTCTTACCTTTTCTTCTTGAGCCATGCCTGCTCTTTGTTGATCCACTTGTTTTCCTCATAGAGTACACCAGTAGAGCAGTGCATATCTCCAGGATAGGTTAGCAAATGGGAACATTTTCTCTTCTAGTTACTTCTGGCTTGTTGAGCAACTGTACGAGGAATTTGAAGGGTTGAATGGTGCTTGAAATATTAGACTTTATCATTACACTTATGTTATTTTAACTATGTTAATTAACCTTAATCCATTCAAAGTGCTCCTCCATCCTTTTCTTTTGGTTTGGCTTTTTAAATTGTTTGACATCTCTTGGGTGACCGTAGTTGTTGCCTGTTTATTATTACATTTCTAGCATGACCTGGGTGGAAATTTGAATTTATATCTTCAGATTTTCCTGGTGAGGAGGAACCTGATGCTTCAGTTCCCCAACCGTCTGAAGACATGGCTGAAGAGGAAGATATTTCATCTAGGTAATGCTGGCATCAAAAAAGACCATTTAACGTTTTGGTTTGTGTATAAAATATCTTTTTGTATAAAAAAGATTAGTATCTTTGAATATTGATACTAACAAGAAAGATGAGAGAAATTGGACCATTGTGTGTTTTACCTGTAAACTTGATTTTGAGGGGTTCCCCCCCCCCTCCCCCCCCAACAAAAAAAAAAACCCCACCCAAATGGAAAAGTGTAGAATGTGGTGGTGTTTGGAGTAGTCATAAGTCTGCTAATTTAAGGAAGATTTCTTCTTGTTACACTTTCTGGAGCCCCAGTCATAAAGGACAAAAGGCAGGATTGCTGATTTACTTCATGCAACGGTTCAGATGGAGGTCAAGGCACCTGGGGTGGTTGTTTAATTCAACTATTTGTCTATATCAGTGCTTTGGTTGCTGAGAGATTGCTTTGGAAGAAAGTACTTTGAGTTCTTCTTTGCATCAAGATGAAGTGTGTTCTTCAAGTAACTTCTTGAAGTTGAGGAACATGACAAAAATCTGTTTGAATTTCGATTGCTAGGAGAATTTCTACTGTTCTTGTTTTGTTACAAGCACTAAAATGTTCATCTTATAGGTTAGCATGGGGTTGATGCCCTGTCTGTTTTTTGAAGCAGTTCGTTAGTTGAAGCAACATGAGAAAAGTCTAGGAGTGAGAAAACATGGACTCATTGGATTGATTGTTGAGACACCTAATGCTTTTCATTTTGACTATAACCTCATTATCTGTATCAATTTAGTGAGTAGAAATCAGAAATTCGTTCTAATTGTGTGAACACTAAAACAAGTGTATCCTTATTCTTTATTTCTGCACTTCTGTGTATGTTAGTGATCCTGTTATGAAGTGATGTGTTAAATATATACATCCATAAAAGAGTCTTGGTTCATCAAGCTGCATTGTCGCTGCACAAATGCTCACCTGTGTAAAGAGTACACAGAAAAATTACCATTTTCCTACACAAAATGGACTATTTTGTAATTCTTGTGAGGCCAAGATATGATGATCTACAAAGAAGAATTCTTGTCTGCTTAGAAATTTTTGGTCTCCTTTATTAGTACTACTATTATTTTGGCATTTATTTGTAAAGTTATTAATTAACAAGGAGCAATGTTAAAAATTTTTCTTGGGATACATGAAATCTAATGTTATTACACCTGATGAAACATTACTTTTTCCTGTCATCTTGCAATCTAATGTGTACTTTCCATGTACTTTTATGTTAATTTTGATAGCTATAATTTTTTTGTCACATTCCAATATGCATTTTGGATTTGCTATTGGCTCATGATTATTGTGATATTCTTGGTAGGGCTGGAAATTTGGTTGGGCCAAGCATGGGCGCAGAAGCAAGTGGTGATGTAACCTCATCGGGACCAGTAAAGTTGGCTGATTTACAGAGAATATTGAGTAACATAGGGTCTGCAGGTGATACTCTCCTGCTTTTGTGCAGTTCTTTTGGCATGGAACTTCTGCTTTTTATTAGTATTAACTCTTGTGTAATGCTCCTCTGATGGTTGATACATAGGTGAAGCTGGAGATCCAGATGCAGGTAAGAACTTGTTTGTTTTTCCTATGCTAATTATGTATCTGTATGTGTTAATGATCTGTTAAAAGACCAAAGGATCAATAATGCACTTGGTAACTGTGATACGGTGGAATAGATTTTGGAAGTTTTGCTCCATTGAAGTTATGTGTAATTGAAATGTTAGCATGTAAAGCATTCATGTCTGGTTCATGGATTTTTGCCGAGTCTTGGAAAAGGGCTTTTATGCTACACGAGTTGTTTGAAATCATTTTGCTGTTTCTGTTAGATTTCTCAAAGTTTGCTTTTTCAAATTTCAAATTTTTGGAGCAAAAAAGTGCTTTTGCTGTTTCTTGTTTTTTTGAGCAAAAAAGTTTTTTGGAGCAAAAAAGGGTTTTCTTGTTTTTTCATTTTCATTTTGTTTGGTCTTTTAGCTTTAAAGAGATTTATGCCCTGTTTGATAAGTCAGTTCAGTACTTAGGCTTTGTTTGATAAATCAATTCAGCATTTAAACTTAATCTTAATGGATTCAGATCTTAATATATTCAGACTGTTTGATAACCAAATATTGAGTATCTGAATTAATTAAGTGGCACGGAATTTCCTAAATAAAACTTGTTCCCAAAATTAAGTAATAAGCTATTTACTTATCACTGAATGTGATATGCACTCAAATGTATTAGATTTAATGTTTAACAATTCAATAACTTAATGAATTCAGATTTCAGATTTTAAATTTTAAACTTCAATTTTATTAAACACATCCTTAAACTTAATGGATTCAGATCTTAACATATTCAAATCGTTTGATAATCAAAAATTGAACATTTGAATTAATTAAGTGGCATTGAATTTTCTAAGCAAAACTTGCTTCCAAAATTAAATGATAAAACTATTCACTTATCACTGAATGTGATATTCAATCAAATGTATTAAATTTAATATTTAACAATTCAATAAGTTAATGGATTCAGATTTTAGATTTTAGACTTCAGTTTTATCAAATGCACCCTTAGGTTTCGTTTGATAAAACTGAATCTGAATTCTGAAGTCTGAATTCTGAAATTTGAATATTGAAACAATTAATTTGCTGAATTTTAAGCACTAAAAAGAAATATATAAATGTCTGAATTTTAATGTTAAATCTATTTATACTGTTGCATAAACATTTATAACTGAATGCTTAATAAGTTAATTTGACAATTTTGCCCTTATATCTTTTCATCCAAAAAAGAAATAGAACCTATGATTTAATTAGCTTAAAATTGTTAGGTATGAAAATGACAATATTTATTTTTAAATCAAATTAATATGAAAGATGAAATATATTATATGAGAAGTATGTAGATGGTGTGAAAGTCATTAAAAAGGGAGAAAAGAGAAATAGAAAACCCTTGGATAGAGAATGGCGAGTTGTTTAATTAGATAAGAATTTTAAACATAATTACCAAACAAGGGTAGATTTGGTAGATAAGATAAGATAGTTGAAGTAATTCTATTAATTCTTATCAAAATTAAGCACTCAGTTAGGATTATTGTGCTGAAAAAAATACACACAACTTCAGCATTGCATAACAAGTTCAGCAGATGGATTTTTATTTATCAAACCCTCAAAACATCTGGATGTCTGAAAAAGTTCAGTTTTAGCACTTTTTAATGTTATTAAACAAACCCTTAGTCTCATATGTAAAGCAAGTTTTTTTAAAACTGCCTATTGCAATAGTTGTATCATTAGTTTAAGACTGTAATTTCTATTAGTAGATTGGGATCTATGGCAAATGGGAATAGTTGTCTTTTACTCTTGCTTTGTACTGTATTTCATTTTAGTTTCAGGGCTTTATAGAGAAAAAGATAAGAAAATTCTAAAAAGGTCTTTTAAATATCATGAATCTAGTTAGAGTTTTTTATCCCTTTTATTTGTTTGATTGCCATGAACCTGTCTTCTAACTCATTTTTCTTCTAGGCTTGGGATTGGGAGATATTTTGAAGCCTGAATTCATTTTCCCGCTGATAAATGACCTACCACTTGAACAACAACTAGCATCTTATTTACCTGAGGTTTGTCAATATGGCATCCGCTGTCAATATTTAATCCAATCAATGGTTTATCTATGAAACTAACTATGACCTTGCAGGGCACCTGGACAGCAGAGGATTTAATGGAGTTGCTTCAGAGCGCTCCTTTCCGCCAGCAAGTAGATTCGTTTACTTATGTAAGAGGAATTGTTCTTTTACTTATTTTCTTTGCTTGGGCCTCCATTTGTTCCCTTCGATATTTTTTGGATATTTAGATGGACTTTAATTCTTCCCCTTGCTCACTGTAGGTTCTTCGAACTGGCCAGGTAGACCTTTCTCAATTTGGCATTGATGCAACTAAATGTAAGCAATCTGTGTTATTTCTCATCAATAGCACTTGTTAACATTTTTCTAAATGACAAAAGCTGAACTAGCCAATTAGGATGAAGTTATTGAATGAAAGCACAGGCATTCTATACGAACACTGAGAAAGTGTCTTATGTTGTACACCACTTGTTGGAATCTCTTTTCTGATTTTTGCTGGTCAGAATTTCAAATAACGAATTCTTTTTGATGATTAAATTAACATTCTCTTCTAGAAAATTGTTTCCTTTGCAGTGTCATGTCACGTGTCAAATGTCAAAAAAAGTTTTGCAAATTAAGACTTGACTAGTGAGAAATTTTGACAGCGTTTTTTTTTCCATTACTCTTATCAGACATAAGAACCAGCTTTTATTTTCTTAATATAGTTGCAGCTCCTGCTTCGGCTTTTGCAGCGTGAAAGCTTCCATTCTGTGAAGAGTATTGTTGCCTAACGGATTTTCTTTCGGGTAAAATACCAAAAAACTGCCTGTGGTTTGACAAATGTTCAATTTAATTCCCTTTGATTTGGAAATCTACACCATAACTCCCTGTGATTTCGACTAAATTGAAAATTGGACAGAAATCATCAAATCTAACGGTTATGTATGAAATATCAATATTGCTCCTACCATATGTGAGATGCTTTCTATTCAATTTTCAATTTAGTCAAAATCATAGGGAATCATAATGTAATTTTTCAAACCAGAGGGAGTTAAATTGAACATTCGACAAATCATAGGGAGTTCATTTATATAGGGGCAATATTGACATATCACATATAACCGTTAGATTGGATGTTTTCCGTCCAATTTTCAATTTAGTTGAAACCATAGGGAGTTATAGTGTAGGTTTTCAAACCAGAGGGAGTTAAATTGAACATTTAGCAAACTATAAGGAGTTTTTTGGTATTTTATCCTTTTCTTTTTGGCATGTCTTTGTACTTAAATCCTAACTTTGTAGCTTTGGAATTCCAGCAGTAATAAAGTTACTATGTATTGATGTTAGATAAGTCTAGTGGTGTGAAGTTAAACCGCATTATGCTCAGGCCTATTGATGTGCAGTTCTTGCCATCTCTCTCTGCCTTTTTGAAACTTATTCACTGCCCTTTGTTGCAGACAACTTCACTGTTCCATCTTTCCTAGAGGCACTTGAAGATTCTGTTACTAGAGTAGCAGAAGGCGAGGAGTCAAGGCGAGATGGCAGTGAACTGAGATCTCAAATGCATAATCAAAGTGAGCCAATGGACGAAGGTCAATAATGTTCAGAACACATCCATAATTGGTACATTCATTCAAGCCTCTAGAATTTTTGTGATTCTTGGCCGATAATGCCTACCCTTTAGAATATGTTAGTACTGTTAAGAAGGTGGAGAGCTTGGAAATTGCAACACATTTAGATGAAAGCTTGTGTGTAAAATTTGATCTGTCGAATCTGGCTTTTGTACTTCAAAATTCTCTGACGTACTGTGAAGGGCAATTCACAATGGGTATGGATTTACTATTGCATACAAGACTACTTTCCGTTTCCTCAAAATCTTTGGATCGAATAGGGCTCTAGCTTTGCAAGAACATATACACCTAGAAGGAGAATCATGTTCAAGACAAGAATCAATGAGACGAGATATGAAGCCTGTATACTACTTTGCTGGTAACCTATTAACAAGAATCAGGACAATTTTTGTACTTTTCTGTGGCCTAGTTTTAATGGAAAGGTTAGAGAGTGCAGGTGAAATTAAGCATCTCTGATGTTTTCTTGATCCAAAATATGAGGCATATATTCATGGCAAACTATGTCCAATTATCTGAGGCCTAACTTTGGGTGCAGTGGAATGGAAGGTATACCGGAAAAAGAAGGCTAGGATTTTTGCGATTGGATTGATCTCCATTGATCTTTTCATTTATTTATATCTAAATTATTATAATTTAAAAATTCATTTGATCAGGCCACTACTTTTTTTTTAATTTCTTTGGCATTCAATTTGTACAAATATTTGAACAGTGAAAAATGACTCAAAATCATAATAAATTTGATAATTCAGATGACAAAAGTTGGTTAATTTCATATGATATTTTTTGTATAACTATAACACAAATGATGAATCATATTATAAATCAAAATTTCATTCGACATTTTTTGTATAACTAACACAAATGATAAAACGTATTATGAATCGTGTTGATTTTTAAAAATAATTTTCAAATTAACTTTTTTATAGTGTCATGCAAAGAAGTTTTCTCCAATTCAACAGGTAGGAGCCTAGTTTTTGTGAAGTAGCAATAGAGGCTTTCCCCTTTTTGTCAATCTTGAGAAGGCAATTAATGAGATTGGAGAAAAATAAAGAATTGAAATTCTATCAGGATTTAAAGAGATAAGGCGACAAAGTGTTTTTCTCTATCACAGTGTCATGCTCAAAGCCATTAACCATACAGTCATTTCTTTGATCCTTAAAGTTGATTGTCCCACTGAAATTAAGCAATATAGACCTATTAACCTATGCCAAGTGATCTATAAAGCTATAGCCAAAATTCTCGTCAACAGGTTAAAGCCTTTCCTCAGTCAATGTATCAACAAAAATCAATCAGCATTTGTTCCAGGTAGGCAAATACTAGATAATGTCATCCTGTCTCATGAGTTAATGCATTTTCTCAAAAATAGAAGGCATGGTAGAGTTGGATTCATGGCTGTGAAACTGGATATGTCTAAAGCGTATGACAGGGTGGAATGGAAATTCTTGAAGGCCATAATGGAAAAAATGAGATTTTGCTCCACTTGGATAGGTTGGATATTATCTTACATTAGTTCTGTTACATACTCTTTCAACATCAATGGTGAACACAAGGAGTACATTACCCCTACCAGAGGCATAAGGCAAGGTGATCCCCTCTCTCCCTATCTATTCATATTGTGTTCAGAGGGATTCTCAAATCTCCTACAAAAAGCAAAGCAGGGAAAGGAGCTGACAGGGGTAAAAATTAATAGAGGGGCTCCAGCAATTACACACTTGTTCTTTGTAGACAATTCTCTAGTGTTTTGCAGAGCATGTACTCAAGAAGCTGATAAACTTAGAAAGATCCTAAAGGTGTACGAAGAGGCAACAGGACAGCTCATTAACATGAACAAATCAGCAGTCTTCTTTAGCAAGAACACGAGCCAAACAGTGAGGGAAGAAATCTGTCAGGTCATGGGATCAATGCAGCAAGTTAGCCAGGGTAAATACCTAGGCCTGCCTATGATCATAACCAGATCAAAAGAGTAAGTGTTTGGATTTATCAGGAATTCTATTGACAAGAAACTGCAAGGGTAAAAGAACAAATTATTGAGTCAGGCAGGAAAGGAAATAATGCTCAAAGCAGTGGCAATGGCTATGCCTATATATACCATGTCTTGCTTTAGACTGAACTCCAAGCTATGTAGAGAGATTAGTTCCAAAATGGCTAATTATTGGTGGGGGGAGGCAGAGGGAAAGGAAAAGATGCACTGGATTGGGTGGAAGAAGATGACAAAGGATAAAGAGGCTGGGGGATTGGGATTCAAAGACCTGCAAATGTTCAATAAAGCCTTATTGGCAAAACAAGTTTGGAAGCTGATTACTCAACCAAACTTGCTTGTCAGTAAGGTGTTGAATGAGAAATACTATTCCAAGCAGTCTCTTTTCAATTGTAAGGTCCCCAATAATGCCTCTTGGATCTGGAAAAGTATTTCAGCTGTAATGGCAGAGGAACAAGAATCTGGGAAGATAATTGGATCCCAAACAGGCCAGATGGAAAACCAACAACTGCTAAGCCACAAGAATGCCAACTAAAACAGGTCTCAGAATTGATCACCAATAGCAGGTGGAATAGAGTTCTCATCTTTAAGACATTCTGCCTTCAAGATGCTGAAAGTATTATGAGCATACCAATAAGTGTGACAAGAAGAGAAGATAGCTACTATTGGATACATGCTCAAAATGGTTAGTATACGGTACAATCTGGATACAAGAGATGGATGAAGGAAAGGGAACAGGAAGATGGAAATGCAGGAGAGGAGGCTGGTCCAAGCTACAAAGGTACCTCCACTATTGTCTGGGAAGCACTGTGGAAACAGAATGTGAAGCAAAAACTGAAGGTATTCATCTGGAAATGTCTCCATGATGCTCTCCCAGTCAGAGAGCTAATATTCAGTAGAACAAACAAAGGAAATCCCATGTGTGGAGGCTATGGAGAAAGTGTGGAAACCTTAGAACATATGTTGCTTCAATGTACGAAAGCTAAGGAAATATGGGAGATGGCTCCAGATCAGTGGGATGGTTTAGTGCACCTAACAGATAACTTCCAAAAGTGGTGGTCTGCTGTGATAAAAGCTCAAATGATCAGAGGGAATGATGAGCATATCAATCTCATAGTCAACATTCTCTGGCAAATATGGAAAGGCAGAAACGATAGGGAGTTCAATCATAAGGATAAGGAACCTCATGGGATAATTGAAAAGGCTTCTATGGAGTGGATGGAATTTGAAGAGGCTAACAGAGGGAGGAATGAGAGAAGGATCATGTAGGAAACAGGAGTACAACAACGGGCTGAACAAAATCACGAAGCTGGGTGCATGAGAATGCTACTAAAGATCCATACCCAAATAGATAAAAGTCAGTCTACAGTGGGAATTGGAATTACAGCTACAGACTACTCAGGCCAACTACATGCAGTTTGGGCACTTAGAGAAAGAATGTCAGGAGATTCACTGCAAGATCAAGCGGAAGCTGTTAAACTAGCTCTAATGAATGCCGCCAATCAAGGTTGGAGAAACATAGAGGTGGAGCTGGACAACAGCAAACTGAAGGGATACATTGTGGACTCAAGACATAGTAGCTGACGGTTGGCAACACTAATAGAGGATATTCAGTCCATTAGCAGCCTGTTTCATCTGTGCTCCTTTTCATTAGCTAATACAGGGAAATTAGATAGTATTAAACTGAGCTTGCATGCTCTTAATAGCTGGTTTGATGAAGAATGGGTCAATCGCAATCTTAGATGCTAACGCATCAAGCATCATCATGGGACAGTTGTCTCTTTTGTTTGGACCTTTGTCCAATTACTGTAAAGCTTTTGTGATGAAATATAAAACTAATGTTTCGACAAAAAAAAAAAAAAAAAAAGACAAAAGTAAGGGTTTTTAATATTTTTTCCAAATGCCAATTTTTCCCACAATCATGGAACGTTAAAATGAAAAGGACCAAATGATCATAGGAAAGAACAATTTCTTTTGTCAACTGCCACGCGTGTGGCATAAACATATGTCTAGCAATCATAAGATGAACAAGCATATCAACAACTCTTTAAGTTTTCTCCTCTCTTTCTTCTCCTACTTCTTTGCTTCCCTATATTTTTCAGCTTGTAAGAGACGTACAGTTTTTCAAAAGTTGTTGAACTTCTGTTGCTATTTGTGAATGTAACTAGCTTCATTGCTGTTGTATCTAACCGTTCTGTCCAATGATGCTTGAAAATATGTTTTTTTGCAATTTAAAGAAACAAATATCATTTTATTCAGGAGCAAATTGAGCAGAATAAGTCATAAAATAGGAGATCTTGGGACAGTTGTTTGCATGTCAACATGCGCTAAGCCAGGGAAATTCCAGGCTAACCGACTAAAGATGTTTGTTTCCTTTGGTTGGTTGGTTGTGAATTTGTGTTCTCTGTTTCTTTGTATCTAGCGAATCTGTGAAAAAAATAAAAATTCCCCTTGGAATTTTCTTCCCATTCTCATTGATTGTCTTGTAATTAGAAAGGTGCAGTAACGAAAAGCTATTTTCTAGAAAGAATTTGCAGGAACTTTGATTCTTGTGAGTTCATGGCTTCCTGCCCTTCCTAGTGAACTGATTAAGCTTAGCTCACTTTATTTATTTTTTTTCATAATGATTTTGTCAAACAGCAGTTGCACTAATCTACTCTCTCTAATTAAATACCATAAGCGTTACTGGAGAGTGGAGGGCAAAAATCCACCTCTAAACCAGACAGGTGCACTACTACACGAGCTAATATTGGACATAAATCCCAACCAGACAGGTGGCCAACTCGCATTATTCAAGCTGGTTAGCTTTGCTCATTCCGGTTTCTGCATATTATAAGCTCTATGGATGCTGTGTCTCAACTGGGAGCATTTTTTTTTTTTTTGGGGTCCTTAAAACTTCATATACTTGAATCTTTGAGATAAAATGAAAAGAGTTCTTGCTTAATCCTATCTATTACTTGAGCTGTTTACATCAGTTCATTTATGACCTTGCAAAGAAAGATGACAAGAAGTATGTAATCAACTCTTCATTAAGCACTTATTCTTCCATCATGAAACAGATCTATTTGCAGAAAGAACTGTGTCAGCATAAAATTTACAGCTCAGTTCCACCATGTCATTGATAGGATTTTCACGTTGACAACTAAGATACCTCATTGTCAAGTTTATTTATAATGTACATTTTCTTCTTTCATAATGAGACTCTTCTGGTTGCTCAGATCTAGAGTTAACATGATCACCTCCCAGGTTGCAATA